ATTCCCAAATCCTTAATAACAAAGAATGAAAATGAAATGCTCACGTGGATTTATACTCCATGAATAATCCAGGCTTTCTTTTTTAACATAGGACATTATCCATCCAAAATATCCATATTTACTGTAACTATCTCTCTCAATTAATATACATTTGACTTTTTTGTCAGTTTTGTCATTTTTCTTGTGAAATTGCTGTGCACTTTTGAATATGTTCCCAAACCCACGGAACCCCCCAACACTGTTGTTTCCAAGAATTGCAAAGTTTGCTCAAATGAAGGAGATCAGGAGATCAGTGTTGTAAAGTATTCGGGACATACGAACTCCTGTCAAACCCATCTTAATTCATTCTAGAACAGTTGGTCTACATCATATCTCCATAAACAAAACTAGGATGCATCCATTAATTAAGAAAGACATCTAATAAATGGAAATTAAGTGATTTTTAAAAGTGTCACTGAGATACTTCTATTCTGCATGATCTCACAACAATAAATATATTTACTCACAGTCATACAAAACCCAATTTTACAGCCACCTCATCAGAGTTGCTGCATTTGAAATATTCCCCTCCTGTCTTTATACAGGTGGCTTTGGCCCCTATAAGGTTTGCATCTATTCAGAAAAGTTACAGGTTCTGTAGAATTTTTTAATCTTTCCCTTTTACAATCTACCATTATACCAGTGTGAAAGAAAAATACTGCAATTTATTTTAATGATTAAGGATCAGTAGTGCTCACATCTACTGTAATGAAATGCTCTGAAAGGCTTGTCAGGAAGAACATTAACACAATGGTACCTGAGTGCTTAGACCCCCTGCAGTTTGCAGGCCCACTGATGATGCTATTTCCCTGGATCTTCACATTGCCCTGGCTTATTTGGATCCTGAAGACACATATGTCAGAATGCTATTCTTTAATTACAGCTCCGCATTTAACACTATGACTAGTCAGGAAGCTTAATTAACTAGACATCAGCACCTCTCTATGCAGCTGGATTATGGAGTCCCTGACTGGCAGTTTACAGACTGTAAGGGTCTATGGAAGTCCTTCTTCCACACTGACCGTCAATATACTGTACAGTAGCTGCCCCTCGGGGCTGTGTGCTTAGCCCCCTGCTTTTCCTTGTTCACCCATTATTGTTTGGCCAAACACAGGTCCAACTCCATCTACAAATATGTTGGTGACACTACCATCATTGGCTGAATCACCAGTAATGACGAGACAGCCTCCAGTGATGAGGTCAGGAACATGCAGGGGTGGTGCCTTGACAAAACCCCTCAGCATCAGCAAAACCAAAGAGCTGATCATCAATTTTAGAAAGCAGGGTGGGGGCCACACCCAAATTTACATCAATGTGGTGGCTGTAGAGATGATTAGCATCTTTAAATTCCTGGGTAATTTCATTGCTAAAGATTTAACTTGGTCCCAGCATGTAACTGGAGCTACCACAAAAGGCACAACAGTGCCTTTATTTCCTCAGACAGTTGAAAAAATGTGGTCTATCTTCAACTGTCCTTATCACATTTCAGGTCAGCCCAGTCCATCATTGAAGTACAGCTCCCCTCTATTGTGGACATTTTTAGAACTTGCTGTCTCAGGAAGACTGGAAGTATCACTAAGGACAACAATCATACTGGTTTCTCACTTTTCTCCCCACTTCCCCACTCTGGTAAGCATTACAGGAGCATAAAGGCACAAACGTCTAGATTCAGAGACAGCTTCTTCCCACAAAATGTCAGATTATTAAACTTTACCCCTACCACTGTCTCACACTGATGTTTTTTTTTCTCACACTGGTTGTCTGACATTTTTTAAGTTGTATGTTAATTAACTTATTGTTGCTGCTGCTGTTCTTTATGTTTGGTGATTCCTCTTTTTATTGCAAATACGCACCTGTGCAAATGACAAATAAACAGAACTGAACTAGAAGGCTATGGTGCTTTAAAAAGGGGACTATTACTCCCATAAAGTGATACTTCTGGAATGCACTCAATAAAAATGATTACATTTCTTCTAGTTCAATAAGTTTACCTGTCTCAGTCATTTGTTTTTTGTCTCATTATTATTTTCTTTGTTATTATACATTTATCATCATTTATCAGTTATAATAGAAGACATGAGTTCAAGGAGAAATTCATATATTAAGCCCAGTTTTCATATAAAACTATAAGAGACTTCTATAACACATTTATCAGTGCTCCTGAAACCCCCTCTGGATCCTGCAGTGTGTGCTGGGCTCTAAAATAATATTCAGGAGTCAGTACTGCTGTGGGTTTGGACTCAATACAGTAGAAAAGAGAAAGACAGGCTGGAGCTCACATACAGTACCTGCTTTATGTATCCTTATAGTTCTGAAAGACAACAATATGACAAATTAATAATTGTCAATAAGAAACTTGTATGAAGTGTGTTTGAAAAATATAAAAAGTAATAATTTTAATACAACATAGAACATTTATTTAAAATTCTACAACAACTGTACATAACATACTTTTAAACGTGAGAAGTCATTCTGGAATGACATTTCGAGTCATTCTGTAAAATTCCTGAACACTACAGGAGATTTTCTAGCTATAAATACTAGATTCACTGCTTACTCACAGCAGAACTACTCATTATTACTGTAATCTAAAAAATGCAGTGTTACACTAAAGCAAAGTGCACACTACAGCTGTCAGTTCCCTACAACCTCCTGCAAGTTCATACAAAGCTAGTTCCACGAGGTGGTGAAGTGATTAATTTATCAGAGTATATTGGAAGAGTGTAAGAATTATTACTTTAATACATGCATGGATTTTGTTGATGGGATACTCTACGTAGAATAGGGCATTGACCATTCAAAGCATAAAACTGGCCAATAAACCACTAAGAGAAAGCTTTGTCTGTTCCTGACGTCCGTGTTCAAATGCAGAGCCCGGAACAGTGTCTGGATTTTAATGTGGGCTGGAACTGGGAGCAGGTGCACAAAATCAACTAAAATGTGAAAGAGCCGAAGCACCCTTAAGGGGGAGGGATTACAATCGTGACACCTTCTAGCGTGAGTCAGTTTTAATTAAAATACTCAACATTCTAGTTTTACATTTTCTTTCCCACTGTTACTACAGTAATATCATTATTGACACAATTATCTGGAATTGATCTACATTCAATTTTAATACACAGCTGTGTTGTCTTTTCTTTTCTTGAAATACAAACCCTTTTAGGAGTAATAAATACAGTCCAATTTATACTTGTTCCTACATACAAACGTCTTGGGAAAGGTTATGGAATGTTAATAAAGAGACATTCTTATATTCCTTTTAGTGTTTGATTAACTACACAAATCACACCCCTAAGCCATAAATTCCCGACTCCTACTCTCTCATTATGATGTCTACTTACTATACTACATGGAGGTTATCGAAGCACAATGCGAGAATCTTTTGTCGTCTTGAGCTTGATTTCAGAACTTTCTCATAGTCTAGAAACTTCAGAGGGACCGTGACTATACTGCGTCCTACAAGTCTCGTGTCATAAATCAAGAAAGGAACAATTCTATTATTTACTTCTTTTACTTTCATTTATTGATGAATTACCTGAAACAAGTTGATTCAACAAACAACTTTTAATTTCTATTAAATGCCTCTGCACAGATCTTTATTGTAACTGTAAAAAAATGTATTATTCACACATTATGAGATTATGGTAACTATTTCAACTAATGTTAAGAAAGACTGGACATCACACGAAAATGACAATATTTTAGTTATACAAAATGTATAGTAGAAAATCATGAACAACACTCCAGTGTATAATTTCCTAAGTGAATCAGAAATACATTTTACCAGGCATTTTACACAAAATCTACTTCACCATTCAGAGTATTAAAGCAAAACATAAGACACTATTACAATTAGATTACTGTATGTTTGTAATATTTCTTTATACTGAATCCCTTGTATTATTGTTAATGGCACAGCATGGCTCACCTTGGCTATTGAAAAATCAATAAAATATTTAATAATGGGAGCATACTGGAAAGTGTATTGAATTGTGTATTGTATATGCTGATGCAAAATCTCCATATATTCAATCCCTTTCCTTACCAAAGACTGTATAGAAAGCTTCAGTCTATAGTAATAATTTATCTCAAGGTATCCATCCTTTCCTGCAATGAATCTCAGAGAGCAGTACATAAAGTAAAGTTCTAGTAAAATCTGTAAGTTAGGATGGACTCTTTGATATTGGGTGGAGAGACAGTAGGTAAAGCTCAGCAGTCTCTAGATTTTATAGTTTTGGAGAGAATACAATCTGACTGACTTGCTGTGGAATCAGAATTTTCCCTTTTGTCCCTTATAAAGTTAAACTAACTTCCAACATGATAGTGATGTTCTCTTCATTCTTCCACATGGGGCAGCACTGAATTTCAATTCAAACCTTAAACTACATTTATCATTGGAGTAGCATTCAAGCTACACAGGAGGTGATCCAAGTAGAATTCAAAAGTAGGACAGAAGAAATTTGAGGCCACGATGTTATTTTTACTGTCTTCCTGATTTAGAGCATCCTATGAAGTTATTTCAGGAGACAGAGGCATATACAATGTTCAGGATTAGCATATTGCTAATTACAAACAGAAAAATCCAAAAGAAGTTATAGTATTGTCACAGTTTCACAAAAGCCCGCACAATCCCTTACCAATTCCTACTCAAGCAGACACATTACCCAATTACCCAATCACTCATGTTGGCACCCAACTATACAAGGACTCAATCTACAATTCACCATGCTGCCTTACTTCTGATGTTCCGGTTTTTCAACCTACACCTGTCAAGACTAGTTTAAAGGATCTGCGATCTGGATAAATACAGCTACTTCTTCCTTATACCACAGCCCTTAGACCAGCCCCAGTCCCGCATAAGATTTCAGTTTTCAGTTACCTCACTGTAACAAGTATATGAGTAAGAAGTACAAACTCCACTGGTTTCATTAATTATCCATCTATTTATATTCTGAATGCTTTATACAGTACTGGGTTCAAGGGTTCATTTTTTATGTGTATTCTTACTGTAATGTGCATAAACAACATCCAGAAATTGAGCACCTTTATTCAAACAGCAAACCTCACTAAACCCTAATCTGGATGGGTTTCTCACAATAGCTCTGCCCTGATCTTCACCCTTATCACACTTTATTATTATCCACTGTTATAGACACCTTCACTGGGCAGATTCGCAAAGAAATAGCATCAAGAGACCAGAAAAATGGAAACACTTTCTCTGTGTAGGTATGTTTAATAGTGCAGATAGCTGTCATGTACTTGGAGTCAAAGAATGAGACCTTCCCCCTGTCATAGTCCAGATGCACTCTGATTTTCTGGGGTTTCCTCTTCAGATTGAGTTGTGCCCATGGTGAGGTCAATGCTCTATAAACCCCATCCCACAGACCTATAGCCCAGATTCCTCTTTCAGGGCTCAAAGTGATTGAACCTTTTCTGTTAAGGGATTTTTTGGCCACACCCAAAGCCCAGTGAGTGTTCTGCCCCACCTCAATATCCCAGCAGTGTCTACCTGAGGTGAATCCCTCAGAGCCCAGCACACAAGTAGAGTAATCAAATCTCTCTGGGTTGTCAGGAAGCTGCCATCTCACAGTACACACTCTCAAAGTGGTTAGATCCTTAGACAGTAAGAGGAGGGGGTGTCCAGTGTTTGGATCCAGTGTCACTGTAGCTAATAGGAAAAAAAAAAAAGGAACTCAACACTGATTTGCTCAAAGACATCGTTTTGATGAATAAATATTTTAATTGTCCTGGAGGAAACCGGTGTTAACACAGGGAGAATATTTACACAGAAAGCACCACAGGAATTGAACCCAGAGCCACAATGTTGGGGAGTAGCAGTGCTAACCAGCGCACCAATGTGCCACCAATCTCTAGCAACTTTAGCAACTAAAGTAATGTAAAGTTGATAGAAATGTATATAAATATCATCTCAACAATTGTTGTACTAACAGGTGTAGAATATGCATTGCTTGGAACAAGAAAGAAACAATTAGCCTTACTGTAACTACAATCAAAAGTATTATAATGAAAAGTGACAATATCGGTTTGTATTGTATTGTGCCTGTAAACTCATTTTAACAGACCTGTGGAGTTACTGACATTAATAGCAAACACCAGACAACATTAGGCTGATGAAATGTAAGTAAGATTTTGGATCAAAGCAAATTCTAGTCAGTGACATGTGATGACATAACTAATGAGCATACATACAGGTGGATGTTGCACACTTGTGGTGGTGAAAGGTTACCATTACCTGTAAAGCGCTTTGAGTGGAGTGTCCAGAAAAGCGCTTTATAAGTGTAAGCAATTATTATTATTATACACACTGTCAGGAGAGGATCAATAGGACAAACTAGCCATGTAGTGACACCTGTTGAGCAAACTCCAGAGCTCTTACACAAACAGTCATACTCCTACTGCTTTTATCTGATTGACTCCTCACTTCTCAAAGTTCCTCTTCCTGTATGGTGAAAAACTGTAAATCCCTCCCCCTTGTGACAAACTGGCCATGTAGAGAAAACTGGAGTACACTTGTAGAGAAAACTGGAGTAGATCATTCACCTCTCTTCAGGGCTCTTACACAGTCACACTATTACTACTTTAATCTGATTGACTCTACAATTCACAATGTTAATCCTGTACTCTGAAAACCTGTAAATCCCCTTCCCCCATGTGATCCCTGCCCCCCAGTACTCACTGTACTGAACAATTCCCAGCATCTTCTCCCAGACTCTGTACTTCAGAGAGCCCAGGTGCTTGGCAACATCTATCAGTGCTCCTGAAACCCCCTCTGGATCCTGCAGTGTGTGTTGGGCTCTGCAATAATATTTAGGTGTCAGTGCTGTAGGTTTGAACTCAGTACAATGAAAAAAGACGAATGACAAAAGGCTAGATTTCACATACCTGTGCCTTGTGTGCTTGTAGTTCTGAAATACAATAACATCAATTGTTACTAATTATTCTCTAAGAGAAATACGTTCTAAGAGAAATAGTTCTGTGGGACTAAAGAGGACACTGGATAACAATAGAGTTCTATCTTTCTGATAAGTGACCATAACATTACAGCCAAAGTTGGAAAAGAGATCAAATTGTAGACCTGTATGATTTTTTTTAAGATGGAATAGGTAATATTATATCATACATAATATTTCATTAATTTTCACAGCATTTAACATAAAATATAATGCAGCAGAGCAATAAAATGCACATAACATAACTTAAAAAATAAGAAATTAGACTCCTATGATAACTAACTCTATTATTAAAATCCTTCACATTTCAAATTTAAAATCAATGAAGAGCTGTCTGCAATTTCCTACTTTACATTGGGGTTATCAGTGTAGTATGCCTTCAATAAAAATGATGTCTGATTTTTTTTATTTAACTCCTGAATGGGTATTACTGTTTGGATGAGTACTTGCAAATCTGTGAAAATTCAGAAGAATTTCACAGCATTAGACAGCCAACTCAGATAAGACAATGTTAATCTGCACTGACATTATCTACAGTACCTGTAGGAATGAAATGTCTTCAGCTCCCATCTCTTTTTCTATGGCTCTGATTGTGTCTGAAAGGGATGAGATCTCTCTTGTAAGACTGTCAGTCTTCTTCTTCATCATTTGACTCTTCTGTTCCTCTTCCTCCTTCAGTGCAGCTATTCTGGCTGCCTCTTCATCTCGCAGAAACTGGTGAAGTTTATCAAACTCCTCAGTTATGAGTGTCTTTGTTAGCTGAGTCTGCGACTGGAATTAAAAGTGTTCATTACTGGTTAAATTCTGCTGACACTGTGTGAATCTTACAGTTAATTTTTCGCAAAATGGAGACTTTATTTGGAGGGATATTCTCTGTAGCAGGAAGGGTAATATTATAAATGTCAACAGTTCACATTAATAAATATAATTAAAAGTGTAAACTTAATAAGAAATACTTATATTCCAGTACCCATAGGAGCACAGTGTACCATACTTGACAGTGAAATGTTTATGAATGAATTATTTTTTCAGAGACTGAAAGGGACTCTGACTGAATTATTTTTTTAGAGACTGATCCTCTCAGATGTATTCAAAGCTATTCATCTTTCTGTTAACTTCTGACAATTTTCTGAAAGTATTTTATATTCTTTATATTCTTTTAAACAAGATTACCTTAATGTGCTCTGTTGTTTGATCAAATGTCTGTTTAACTTTATTGAAAGTTTTCAGCTTCTTCTGCAGGGTCTTCAGTTCAACACTGAGGTTTTCCTGGAACAAGTCACAGGAGACGTTCACTCTTAACAGTAGATAAAAACTAAGGGACTTCATTGCAAACACACAGGAAAAAAATCTGTTAAAAATCAGATAAATTTCATTACTTCATGTCCTGATTCATTTTAATTGAGGGAAATCTCTACACTGGCTTCCATTGAGGGAGAGAAGGAGTAAGGAAGACATTTCCCTCCATTGTTATATTTTTGGAAAAACAAATAATGTATATTGCAAGTAGGGCAAAAGAAGGTCAAATGATATGGGCGCCTTTTACCTATGTTAACCCAGAAACCCCTAACTTCAAGGTCAGCAGCCATTTTGTTTTTGTTGAGATGGCAGTTTCAGCCATCTAAAAACTTTGGGTTACTTGGAACTATCCCAATAATAGGTTTATTCCATGCTGAAAAGAGAAGAAAGAAAACACCATGTTTCGGCTGTGGAGCCTTCTTCAGGTGTAAGTGGTGTAAGTGTACACTTGAAGAAGGCTACACAGCCAAAACATTGTTTTCTTTCTTCTCTTTTCAGCATGGAATAAACCTATTACTTGTCCCTTTGCAGCCTAGGCATGCAGATGGAGCTACCCACCTGAACTACTTACATATTTATACAAACAATCTGGGAAAGGAATGAGGAATATTCTTCACTTTATTTAATTACAAATTATATACATTACATTTTTAAATAAAACATTTAATCCAAATTTAATGTTCTAAAGTGAAATTTGTAATAAGTGAACAAATATTTTAAAGACAAACTTCTAAACTGATAGTAAATGAAATACATTATGTCTCACCCGACAATCCACAACAGCCTCCTCCAAAGGACAGAACTCATGGTTTCTATGTTTTCTTGAAGTGTGGCAGATGAAGCAGACAGGATCTTTATCATCTAAACAGAAGAGTTTGAGTTTTTCATTATGCAGACTGCAGAGCATTTCAGATTCTCCTGGAGATTTCTGACTTCTCTCCTGCAAGAAGGCTTCACACAGTTTCTTGAGAGACAGGCTCACAGGTGGTTTGTCTTTAGAAATTGTTCTGCAATATGGACATTCCCAAGAGCTGTTTTGTTCCCATTGTTGCTCCAGACAGACTTTACAGAAGCTGTGGCTGCAAGAAAGTACAACAGGATCCCTGAAGATTTCATAGCACACTGGACAGGAGAGTTCGTCTTCCAGAACTAAAGATCTGGCTGCCATTATTTCCCAGAGTTGCCCGTCCTGTTCACTGTAATGGCTTCAGGACAAAGTCTTAGGTTTGTTATCAGTTATACTTTGTGCTTATAAATAGTGCTGGTTAAATTCAGAGAATATCATTTCTTGTGAAATTCTTATGTTTGCCATTTAATGCTTACTGTATACAGTACATGTATGATTTATTTTTCATATTTTCAATTTTTAAAAAGTGGTGGATTTCATAGAGGACTAATCAATCTATCTACAGTTTTTAACCATTACTTCCAATTCCCGGTTTCAATCAGCAAGCAATCAGCGCAAAGTAGGGTACACCTCAGGCAGGATGCCAGTCCTTTGCAAGGCAGACAGACACAAGCACAAACACACACTTACACCAGGGCCAATTTTCTCAGGTTCCAATTAATCTAACAGTATGTATTTGAACTGTAGTAGGAAACCTAACCCCTTGATTATCTTAATCAGAAACTTGGACCTCCATCCCCTTTTGGGAAGCTCTCTCTGGAGCTCTCCCTCAGAGCTTCCTGGTGTGCTGTATTTGCAATTTATTAAATAAGGAGGAGCTCAGCTATACAGTATCCAGGGGGCATAATGACACAAGCTTGTTCAGGCAGAATGGGTCTTTGACCCATTTGGACTCTGTTTGAATGAAAGGATTTGTGACAGGAAGTCAGCGTTGACATGTTCCTTATCTATTCTGTACTCAATCTGATACTGGAACATCTGGAACCACCAGGTGGAGTCTCATCAGAAAAGCTTGATCTGAAGGTTTTTCCTCTTACAATCTTTTTGTCTTTCTTCTCACAGAACTGTACTGGAAGCAACCACTCTTCACTGGTAACAAAGGGTATATTTGTCACATTTCAACAAGGTTCGCATTGCACAAGAAATCAGTATAAGAATCTTTACATGCAAATGTCCATAAAACAGTACAGATGTGAATATAATATATGAATTAGTTTTCAGGATCTTGCTTACGACTTGTAAGAGCTGGAACAGATCTGCTTTTCCCCAGCTACACATTTCAGCCTGCTCTACTGCTCTCCAGTTGTACTCAGAAGTTATGGTCAGATAAGACAATCAGTAAACCATTTGCATATAATGGACTTACCATTTTAAGACCTCAGGCCTCATGCCTTTGCATCTTGATCTTCTCCTCGAATATTACAAACTGGAGTGGAGTTCAATACCCACACGGAACAACCTCACAACTAAACATCAAGACATAGGTCCTAGTCTGAGAAGCAGACAGCACTGACACCTCATAGTCCTGTAGCACCTCCCTCAGTTCATAAGCATGAGTTTGGTCAGGACAGGGCCTAGGCAGGTGTGGGGATTAGTACCACTGACTGGTTGGTGCACAGTTGGAGCTTCTTCCAATAGGCAAGAGATTTGCCTTAATGAGACATTAACCTGTACTGGTGTATGTGCTCATGTAGCAGACAGCACCTTGGGGTATGAGCCTTCCTGGAAATAGTGAGGTCATTGTTTCAAAGAGTGCCACTTGATCACTAAAAATTGTGTCTTACTGGGTGATGTTTGGGTTTATCGATTCTATTGATCAATAAAGATCTGTAAATTATTTATTTTGTGCAAGGCATTCCTTTATTGTCAGAACTTAACTTTGATTCCATAGCTGCAATATATATATATAATATGATAAACATATATGTACACACTATTCTAAATGAATTAGAATATAGTGTATGAATTAATAATAATAATAGCTAACATTAATATAGTGCTTTTCTGGACACTCCACTCAAAGCCCAGGGGAAATTTGGCCAGGTCACCAGGGTAACACCCCTACTTTTTTCAAGAAATTCTCTGGGATTTTAAATGACCACAGAGAGTCAGGACCTCCTGGTGGCTAAATGAAGACTTATAATTTTGTTCTATCAGAGCAATGTAGAAATAGATGGAAGATCAGAATGTGTAAGCTCAAAAAATGTTATTGTCACAGTAAAAAGATTGGACGTTTAGGCATCAGGTACCAAGGGTTGTATGGATGTCTGTTGCACTGACGGGCCAATGATACTCTACAGTGATGTAGTTTCAAATCTCATTCTCTGCATTTCCTGCATTGATCAAAGGCTCTGTTAACACAGATGCTGGGCAATTATCACACCATTCAGGGAATAATACAGTATGTGGTGTTGCCACACAGGTTTGAGTGGACCTTTGTTTGAGAGGAGGGCCTAGAGACAGGACACAGTGGAACAATGCATCATTATGCCAGCTCTAGGCTGTGGGATCTGCCATTTCAAAACTCCCCCACAACTGTGGGAAGAGTCAAGGGCCTTTGTTTAGAAGAACAAAATAAAAACTTTTGAAGGAAGCACGGTTGGATGAACAGACTGCAGCAGCTGGACCCAGGAGGTCTTGACTGGACACCAGGGACCGGATGCTAGGGAGAAAAACAGTCTCTGTTCTCTCTACCCAAAACTGGACACAGAGACAAGCAGGGTGGTGGTGAGTGGAACACCATGGACACAGTTATTCAGGACGTCAAGACTGCAGAGCATAGAACTATTGGACTGCAAATTTATGGGACATGCCTTTTCCGGTAACCGGGGTTTTGGGCTACTCTATGAAGAAGTCATGTCATGTGATCTGTGGTCAAAGGACACCTGTGCGACTAGTAATACTTTTATGTGAAGGGGACACTGATTGTTGCAAGTGGAATATTACTGTACATGCCTGGTCTGTCGATGTACTGGTGAATATGGGAGTGGAACTGAAGATGTGGCAAGGAATTAAGGGGCCTCGCATGCTTTACAGTATAATTGCTAGGTGGTGTAACCGTGCAAGAAGCAAAAATAATTTGAAGGGTCACCTACTGTATCTGTTGTAGTGTGCTCTCTGAAGGCACCAGTTCTGTAGGGTTTGGGCATTAACTGGGACAATTATTAATTGTAGCAGTAAATCACAAAATTGATTCTTTTGATGGCTTTAGAATCCAACCATGCGA